CGGCAGGGGGCCTTTGGCGTTTGCGGACGTCCCCGGCTGAGTCCAGTTCCTGAGCCTGCTGGTGAAGGCATCGCCACAGAGTTTTAACGCTGGAGGCCCTGAACATAGACTTGGAGTTGATTTCAAAAATTCAGCTGCAATATTGATGCCATAAGATCTTTTCTTTGCAGTCTTGGGATAGGATTTCAAAATATTTCACTGATAAGAGATAACAATTAGAAATGACATTTTTGCCTCCAGATTCTCAGGTGGTTTTAGAAATTGTTTCTCTGATTCTGTAGAAGAATGTTGATAGTATTACTGTCTTATATGACATGGAAACTAGAAAACATAGCTAGATACTCTTTTACTCATGTTTTGGATAATGAGAGAAATTATTTTATGCTTCACACACTTGGAGTATGTCATCTACTGTAATATAGTATCTGAATGAATACTTAAAATCAAATACATTTTTGTAAGCTAGTTGTACACTTTAAAACCTCTGAATAAATTTGACTAGCAAGTCTCAGAAACTTGATTCTAAATATTAAAAATACATCCTTCCTTGGGAGGGAGCGTGTAGGAAACGTGCAGTGTGATTGTAAACATGCTGTCTGTCTGGAGGTCGCTTTGTTCCTGCATCCTCTGCTTTCATATCAGGGATGTTCACAGAACGCCAGGCACCAAAGGCCAGAAGCGTCCCCCTGCAGGACCAGCACTTGGCCCTGGCCATCCTGCTGGAGCTGGCTGTGCAGAGAGGCACGCTGAGGTGAGGGCTGGCGCAGACTGGGAACGCTTTGGGGAAGTGCGTCTGTATCCAAATACCTGCAGCACTGTGTGCATTTCACTGAATCGTTTGTGCCTGCAGCAGATGTGTGGTGCTCTGTAACCAGAGAACCACGTCCCAGAGCTCGCTCTCTCTTTACCTTTTCTTCACTTCCTTTTTTATGCTCGGTTTTCTAGTCTGGGAACTGTTCTTTTTTTTTCTTTCAGTTTTCCTCATTTAATTGTTTTTATTCCATGAATTTAAGATCCTAGAGCTTTCATGTAAACGTGCTCTTTGAGCTGCTTAACTGGTCTTTCCTATCAGCAGAAGGCGATGTGTGTGCTAAAATCTCAGTGTCAATTCAGTGATTTAATTACCACGGCTTTACTTTCGTTTCCTTCCAGATCCCAAGTATGTCTTCACTTCTATCTAGCTGGTTGCTTTTATTTTTGATTAACCATGAAAAAAAAAAAGTTAATGTGTTTTTACTAGGAATGAATATCTTTTCTCCTTTAGCCAAATGTTGTCTGCCATCCTGTTGTTGCTTCAGCTGTGGGACAGCGGGGCACAGGAGACTGACAATGAGCATTCTGCCCAGGGCACCAGCGCCCTGCTTTTGCCCTTGCTGCAAAGGTTCCAGAGCATCATTTGCAGGAAGGATATGCCCCTTTCTGAGGGCGACATGCACGTGAGTGTCGTGATAGAACTTTGTGTTTAGGTGGCACTGGATTCTAGTTATTTTTTAAGCAAGGCCAGCGTGCGTGTCCATGACAGTGTTTTTCTCTGGTGTGTGTGTGTTTGGTGGAAACAACAGCGAGTCAGATGAGACAGGTGTGGGAGGTCACTTGTTTGTGGAGAAGACTCGAATCAGTGAGCACCGACGTCCTCGTCAGC